AACCACCCAACTTTTTTTTTATGCGCAACACCCCCCACAACATCCCCTGCCTATGCGCAACCCCATGGCGTGTGCGCGCTCACGTTTTGACGCGCGCGCGTGCCTTAAAACGCTTTGAGCGCGTTTGAGCGCGGCGCAGGGGTCTTTAAGCGCGCGCTTAAGTGCGCGCGCGCGCTTAAGCGCGCTCATACGGTTTCATAGGATCGGGATACCCGACGAGATGTGTTCTTTAATTGATTTGAAAAAAGTCACTCTTGCCCTTCCCTCATTTGGAGCATATACACAAAAGATAACCACCACCTCTTAGCAAGCAGATACACCCACCTTCCTTCCTCTGAATCAACTGCCCAGTTGAGCGGGTCGATTCACGTGTCCGGGGGGAGCCAGATAGCCACTCCTGTGTTCCCCGGGCGTGGTGCATGAGCACGAAAAGCCTGATAGGGCCAAATCTCCTTGTGGGCTCGGTGGTGTTTTGCTATGTCCATCAGGTGGGTTTCTTGGACGCAAACTGCATCCGGCGAATCTCTACGTTCTACTCCCCTAATTTGCTCCCATATGGCTTGTTTTTTTTAGGGGGAGGCTGAGGCGAGGCCATTTACATTCAAAGAGCGTAGGTCTTAATCGGCCTCCCTTTTTCCTTTTGCCCAACCCTTATCCCTTCCATACAAGATGCTGATAAAATCCATTTCCAGCCCTCTCTTTTAGTTGGACCCTACAAACGAAACCAGTCCATGGCCTCCCAATCCCCGGATCCCGAAGGAGGCCCGTCCCTAAGGATCCTAATATATATATCCTTTACCTCCTCCCCCTGCCATGTGTCACTCAACCTGATTTTTAAGAGCTGCAGATCGAGCAAAGAGCTCCTTCAAACCCATTTGAAGCCCATGTCCTTATTCGGGTCACAGAGGACATACACAGTCTTATCTGCAATGTTTGACATCACTCGTGTAGCAACTGCACCCCCCCGAAGGTTACTTATATAGGTTCGTAGATCTGATCCGAAGACCCCTTTCCCATCGGCGACCAAAGAGAGAGCACCGAAGTCCACCCTTCCAAAGTGATTTCCCCGTGTCTGGCATGGGGGGGCTTTGTAAGGCCCACTTCCCATTTACTTTCCTTCTCTCGGACTGGCAGTACCAAAATCTTGCTTCGAGGATGGGGCGATGGCGTATAACCATTTTCTAATAGGTGGCGTAGTTTTTGCCTCTTGCTGACCAGCTCACTCCCGGGACTCCGGGAGGGTCCGGAGGATCAGGAGAGGGTAATGAGGGGGAGGGAGGGGGAGAGATATATTGGGTGGAGTCCCGATGCTGATCTTCTTCCCCACTCTGTCGGCCCTCCTCGGCGACATCCACCTGTTTTTCATGGTCTTCATGGTCCTCCTTTACTACCGACCTTACCTTCACCTCTTCCCTGGGTTTTTCTCTTTCAACTATCACGTCTGCAACTGACTTTGTGCTCAGTCCATGTTGTTGGTTTGTTTCTTGCCTCAGGATCAGAGCCCTAGATTCCCCTTGCTCTTGACGCAGTTGTTCTGCTTCTTGAGGCCGAAAACGGGCGAGGACAATTGTGAATAAACGGTGACAAACTTCGGTCCAGTTGGCATTTCCAGGTTGGCCGTGTTCTATGGCTCCTTTGATAGTGACACTATTCTCTAAGAGGGGAATTAACTCTCTATATGTGCAATCCCATACGTCGTCTCCCTGTCCCGGGTACCTGGCCTGGAGATTTTGGTATAGCTAGTGTGCTATTCTCGTTAACCTATCCTCCAATGGCACCTGCAATTCCCGCCCTTCCTCCTCCTCCTCCTGTTTCCGTGCTTCCCGCATCTCAACATCCTGGGGGGGGATCCTTCTTCCACGTCCATCGGGGTTGGACCGAAGGTCTCCTCAAAAATATATGTTTGCTCCCTCGTTTTCTGCGGTGACTGCGGCTCTTGTCGGCTTATGTCCTTTTCCTTGATCCCCCCCTCATTGTGCCTAGTCCTGTCCCTCTCTCGTTGATCCCCTTCCTTGGTATGTTGAGTTATGGTCGGGATTGTCTGTGACGCGCGACGTGCAGAAAGAGGCCCAGAAAAACAGCAAGACGGGGTGTGCCAAGGATTTTTGGGAAATTGAGTGTGGGGACACAGATG